TAATTATAATTATTTTTATGCATTATTATTATTTTTAATAATAAATTTAATTATAATTATTGTTATTGTAATATATATGCATTAGTAATGATATATATATATATATATATTATAGTTATGTGTATATGTATTTTATTAATTATAAATAATTTTATTTTTAATATATATATATGTATATATATGTAAATTTATATGTATATATTAATTTAAATATATGTAGATGAATATTTGGATATTTAATAATATTTTTGAATGCTGAGTCAGCAGTTTTTTGCTGAGTCAACAGTTTTTTTTGTTAAGTCATCAGTTTTTTGCTGAGTCAGCAGTTGCGTTTATTTGATATGAAAAAAATTTAAAAGTTTGGGTATTTATGTGGGAATTTTGAAAAGTTCAGGTATTTATATGACAATTTTATAGTTCAAGTATTTGTTTGGGATTTTTGTAAAAATTCGGGTATTTTTATGCTATTACCCCTTATTATTATTATTATTATTATTATTATTATTATTAATAATAATAATAACTTTGGTGATTAATTTGTATGCGTTCGTGGGAAAAAATAAATAAACACAATTTGGCAGAAGAGGGTCCCGTCAACCTACTAGTAGTCCATTTCAAAGCAATACCTCAATTTTCTAAGTCAATTGTGGCATACGCATACCAATTACCAAGAGTCCGCTAACATTTTTATTATTATTATTATTATTATTATTATTAATAATTTGTCAAATTCAATGGCTAACGGGGGCTATCTTCTAATTAGTACGCATCATCGGTATTTCTCGGTAGGGTTTGGGGAAAATACCCGAAAATGGGGTATGTGCGGATATTGATCGAGTTTATAAGACATTGATAGAGTTGTCGTGGTCCACGGCGGTCACGCCGAGGACATAGATCGAGTTTACGAGTCGATAAACCACCCTATACCTGCTCTCCACCCCGACAATCACCTGTCCGCTAGCAGCCGTCGCCGCCGTAACCTCGTCGGAATCCGCCGCGGACGAGGAAGACGACGAGATATGGTTCTGTTTCTGCTGATTCTGATGATGTTGCTTCAATGCGGGGGGAAGGCAAGACGCGTCTGGCGGAAATACGAGAGAGCGATTAGGGCTCGAGCCGGCCGAAACTACTACCGGGTCTGGAGCAGGATGTCGGATCCATCGGATGGTCGTAGAGATAGCGCCAAGCACGACATACGAATCAAGATTGTAGATCGGATTAAACCATTGATCCGATCTGAGGAAAAAAACACCATGGGACGGTTTGTGTTCTACGCTCAGAGGCTCGCGAAACAACGCTACGTTTATTTAGTGGGCCAAGAGGTCCATTGGCCTCAATTAAGGCCTAACGTTAAAACGCCGTCGTTTCTCTTGGCTTCGGTTCAAATTCGATGGCGCTTTAATTTTTAATCTCATAAAGTGAACCTGCAGAGCCTTCTCCGACAACCGGAAGCTAACCACTGGCTGTCCGATCATCGGCACGGTGGTGCTCTATACAATTCTCTGACTGAGATCGTAGCGGAGAGAAGATTATATGGAATCTTTGAGGTTTTGGTTAGATTATAAGGCTTCCGTTGAAGATAACTGTGGTGGGTTCTGTAGCAGCTTTGGTTCAGATCAAAATTTGGCCTTCTGTCCTGATCTCAAGGATGGGAGAATATCCGTCCACGAAACCCTTGTTGAGATCGGTCAAACTAAAATTCCGACCACATCGGGAAATGGAAGAACACTGAATACCCATCGAATCGAAAGATTTCGAAAAGGGCTAAAAAGGGTGGTGTGTGGGCTCTTGGATTGGATCACGATCAGCTGACCCGATCCCTATCCAAAACCCGATTAACTATCCCAACCAGTTCTGTATACTTAACGGGCATTGGTATATTAGTGCCTTGTGCTCCGCCTATATATACACACACACAGACATTCATGTCCTGTCTTTCTTGCACTGTGTGTGTGTGTGTGTGATTCTTTCATGTTGGAATCCCCCGATTGAGACCCATCACTCTTCCATATGGACCATTTAATATTAATTATCAATACACTCGAACATGGACCAGCTAATTAATTCACACGTTTTATGGTTCATTTTCTAATGACAAATCCATGTCAGATGGGACATATGTAGGTTGATATGGTTTTTATATATAGGTATACAAACATCCTACAGCCTTTTTTTCTGAATCTTCCTTAGGATTTTCTATGTAATGATGTCTTTAATTCATTTGAGAATCAATTGTAAATTTGTTCCAATACACTTTTTTTTTAAAATATGAAATATGAAATATGAGATCGATTTGTGCAACTCCAATTTATGATGGCCTTTTGGAATATTGTAAGCGATACGAGTCAAGACTCAAAACTATATGAATTATGTGTAACAAACGATCATCACTTGACCGATGCATGCATGGTAAATCCACGAAGACACAAACACATGTCCTTGGAACATGAAGTGAACCGACATCATAGAGAAAATGGCATTCCATATATATATATATATATTACTCGTTCCCTCTCGTCCTCCCCTTCACCGGCAATATCCGAATTCTCTTCGCCACACGAACGAAATCCCTGTTTCATCACTTTTTCTCATTCAGTCAAACATGCTCCATAAATATATTACGTTAGTGATCATTTATGAAACGTACAATCTCAATGTCTTTCACGTCTTTTATCCGACCATTTGGTCATATGATTAGTCCAGCTTTAGATTATTCACAATTTCTTTATCCATGTATGCATCATCACATGTGATGAAAAGAATATTTATATAATGCGTATATAGAAAAAGAGATTCGTAACTCAGCATGCTGCAGTATCACACATATATATAACGTTTATATATATATATATATATATATATATAATATTATAGTTTTAAAGGATTGGTTAATGGAAATTACTTCCAACAAAGATCACCGGCGAGAAGAAGATCGTTCTCCATGTCCTCGTAAGCGATGAGATGGCCGGGAACGGCGTTGGAAAGATCGAGATCGTCCGGTTTGGACGAATCTCCACCGTCCACGAACATCTGCCTCAGAGCCCTAGCGAGGCTCTGGTAGCTTCCGTGCTTGTCGAGGCTGATGCGTTGGCAGATCGAACGGCCCTCGAGCACCACCGTCACCGGAGGAACCACCTTCGACACGAGATCGTCGTCGTCTTCACCGAAACCAAACCCCCGGAATCTTCCGCCGGAATTAGAGGGTTTCCTGGTTTTGGACATGAAGGGAGTCACAGTGCTTGTTGTTGTCTTGGTATTGTCTGTAACTGTAAGAGTTTTCGGTGTATTAGTGCTGTCTTGAAACCTTCTTTTCAGGGAATCTTGACTGGCCATCCTATCGTCTGGTTTATAGCAGAGAGAATATTAGGGTTTTAGGTTTATAGGGGGGGAAGGGACGATGTAGGTAAGGAGCTTAAAAGTGTTTGTGTTTTTATGTTTTGTGTGTTCAGAGATACAAGTAAACGTGTTTGATTAGTTGTTGATGAGTTTCTGGTGAGAGTGAGTGAATGTACTTATAACTCTCTCTCTCTCTCTCTCTCTCTCTCTCTCTCTCTCTCTCTCTCTCTCTCTCTCTGTGTGTAATGGAGAGAGAGAGAGAGCAAGTGTGTGGGGATGTGTGTCTCTTAAATCTTTCATTTAAAATCTCTCTGCTCTTTGGGTTTCCCTTTGTTTTTAATGTGTAGATCTACGATTCACACATCGATATATATTAATACGACTTTTATTGATCTCCTCGATTTTTGTATGAATTTGATATTCTCTATTTGGTTTGAAAGGAAAACTCAAGCTAGGACTTTTGATGGGTTATAATTTTTAGTCCAAAACATAAAAGGTTAGAAACGATGTACGTCACATAAATGAATGGTTTGAATTTTGGTTTGAATAAAATGTACATATATAATATAGTACACATATATAATAATGCTAAAAAAAGGAGGAAATATTTAGGGAGATTCACATATTAAATATTGAACTTTAACCAAATTTCCAAATTAAATATTCAACTATCTCATTTCTAAATTAAATACTCAATTATATTTAAACCGACAAATAAAAACCAAAATTTTTCAAATTTTAACATATATCTAAGGGATAATTCCAAAAAAAAATCCTGTACTTTTTTTTTGTCACAATTTAAACCCTATACTTTTTTTATCCAAAAAAAACTCTATACTTTTCAAAATTTTAAAAATTATTGAGTATTTAATTTGAAAATTTGGTTAAAGTTCAATATTTAATATGTGAATCTCCCAAATATTTATAAGCCTTCATGGCTTATGAATCATTCCTCAAATATCATCTATTGGATTAAAAAAATCATGTTTTTTTACTATGAATTATGAAGAAAGTTTACCCTTAAAGAACGTTTTTGGGTATGTTTTATTTATTATTATTATTTTTTTTGTAATTGTGGTATGCTTTTGTTTTTAAAGGTGGTATTTTTGTTTAATGCAGAAAAGAAAAATAAGTCGTCAAATTGAAGGGCATGGAACTGCGGAGACGACCGCGCTGCGGTCGCCGAACGCCTCGCTGCCTTGACGCGCGGCCGGTCGGGAACTCCACGTCATCACCTCCTATTTTATATTTATTTTTAATAAATATTTGCTGGACTTCTGCAAAACAAAAGTACACTTGACACTGCCGCAACTGACGACCGTTGCAATAGAGTGTTCATATGTACTATATGCTTATATTATATTTGTCCCACACTACAATTTAACGTGTGTATATATATATGTATGTATGTATATGTACGAAACATTAGAAAATGAAAATGAAAATGAAAATGTGAGAAAGAGCTGAGGGAAAACCAACAAGGCATCAACAAAGCACAAGAAGCATGTTATCTTAAGTTTGAAGCAAACAGTAATTACTTTCGTATATTTTAATAATTAATCAAATGCGTTAATCATTGGGATTGTAAGAAGAAGTGCTGGAAGATCCGACATGGGAGGCATATGGTCTTGTTTTCACCTTCCCTCTCGGTTAATTTCTTCCATTTTTTTAAAAAATTAATTTCACCCACTCTCGGCATTTTTTTAATCCATGGTCTTTGCTTAAACTCCAATCAAATCAAGTGTTTTTTTTTTAAAAAAATTTCATATTGGTTTTTGTGTTGGAATCTACAGACATACGTTAATGTTTGCTTCTACCATTTAAATTGAAGTGTGCTTGACCGTTCAAACATTATGTTGTCCTACTTCCAAAACCGCATCTACATTTACTAATTGCTGATTAAAAATCTCTTCATTCATATAGCCTATAGCCCTAATATATAATATATGTATAGCCAAAACATTCTTACCATTCACAACTAATAACTCTATGCAATCACACATGGAATGCTATCTTCTACAGTTAGTGTCTACTCCTAAAAAATTACGGCTTTGGATGATAGGAGTTTTTGGAGTTTTTAGAATCCAAAAACCAAAAAAAATAACATTCAAGTTTTTACAAAATTACTTTTCCTAAAAACTTGGAAAACCATTTTAGTGAAAAAATCAATGAAAAACCAAAAGCCACTTTTTTTGAGTTTTCAAATATTATAAAATCCAAAAGCCAAAAACCAAAAACTAAAAACCAAAATCCAAAAACTAAAACCAAAAACCCAAAATAAAAGCCATCTCCATTCAAAACCTACGTCTTAAACGAAAAATGTTATTTCCCCCCCTAATTGTGCATTTAAAGCCCAATAGCATATATATATATAGGTAAACCTTCAACCATAGATTATATAAATTTTTTTTTAAAAAAAAAAATCTATTCGTCACTCTTGGTCTCCTATATTATAATATCATCCTCCATTTGGTCAGGTGAACAAATGAGAGATTTCTTGGGCATTTCTATTTAAGAGCCAAATACGTGGGCTTAATGGGCCAGTAAATTACTTATTGACCGCTTTCATTTGTTTTGGAGAAACCCCATTTAGTTGGGCCTGTTAGGCCCATTACATTTTCCCCTCCATTTCTTTTTCCAAAAACAGGCGCGAAACACCCGCTCTCCGACTCTCAGCGGACGGAAATCCCTAAATCCAAAACCCTCGAGCAGTGCCTTCTTCTTCTTCGACGTCCATGGCTGTGAGTATTCCTTCTTTCTGGGAATTATTCGTTGTTCCGTTAAAATTAGGTTTTTTTTTTCACTTTGAACTAGAGTATAGGGCTGTAGTAATTTGTTTCGCGATGTTTAATGTGGATACTTGGTTATGTTTCTATCTGAGAATCGATCGATTTCAGTCTACGAATATTTTTATTGTTGCTTATCGCGATGTGGTGCAAATGATTTTGTGTATTGGAAATATTCAGTGGGATAAAATGGCTTCGGTGAGTTTTCTAGGGTTGGGGATTTTTGGGGCAACTTGGGTGGCTGTGCGGTGTAGATATCGAAGCATCTTCCGTGTATAATCTTAGACAGATGCAGAAATGTGGATGCTTGCGATAATGGAGAAGAATCTCTTAGAGAATGAAAATAATGTCTGAAGCTGCATGGCCTTACGAGTTAAGACCGGAAAAGTGTACGTACAATTGTAAAAGAAATCCGAATTCAACGAGGAAAGCATTCCCAGACACAGTTTGGAATGGGATCTTAACGTAACAGTTAAACCAAACGAACTTGTGGTGTTTCTCTTGTGTTGGGATGTATAATTTTCTATCTGGTTATGTTTCATGGCCATAGCTTTCTTTTCTTGTCTTTTGGGAATGGAACTCTGCCGGCCGAGCGATCATTTCTTCATGAATTTTGAAGAAAAATGTTGCATTTTCGGATACTACTGCAGACTATACCGGTGAATCCGAAACCTTTCTTGAACAATTTGACGGGGAAGACTGTCATCGTCAAACTTAAGTGGGGAATGGAATACAAAGGTATTACCCGATCCATCAGCACAAGTATTCCTTTTATTACGCATTTCCGATGCCTATTTATTCGTTCTTGCCTGAAACTCTAGAAAGTGATAAAAGTAGAGAAATACCCGATTATGTCTGTTCTTGGTCCTAGAACAATGCTAATCCGTAGCAGTCTGAGGTTATCATGGCTCGTTCTGTCATAGATTGAGATTATGTTTCGTCATATTATTATATCACTTTCCCAAGTATCCGCCGAGGTCTTTGGCCAACTCTTTCCGACCTTTGTCACAGATCAGGTTTTCTTGCATCGGTGAATTCCTACATGAACTTGCAGGTCTTCCCCTTGATCCAGTCTCTGCTATATCTTATGTATGAGCTGTTTTCTAGCCATAGCTTCATTTTGATTATGGATGAACTGTTCTCACTCAAATGTTTTGGGCAAATGTTTGCAGCTGGGAAATGCTGAAGAGTACATTGATGGACAATTAACAGGAAATCTGGGAGAGATTCTGATCAGGTAAAGGACACATAATGATCTAAGTATCTTGCTGATGTTGTAACACACACACACACACACATATATATATGCATGTGTCCTAATCAACATGGTTATATTCTGAACATGCAATGTGAAGGTGCAACAATGTTCTGTATTATTCGGGGTGTTCAGGAGGATGAAGAGATAGAAGAAGCTGACAGAGACTGATCTCATTCTTTTGGCCCTTGTGGCTGGCTTCAGTAATCATCGGCTTTATGTTTTCTGGTAATTTATCATGGGACTTTGCATTGGAAAATGGTAGGGTGTTGTGTGTATAGATATATATATATATATAGAACTTATTGCAAAAACCATCATTCAAAATACGCAAGAATAACCTGAAAGTATAAATTGGCGACGAAAAGACCCCTGATTGTAGAAAAAAATCATATTAGAGTAGACGTGGAATCACACGATTCACTATATATGTATGTGAAGGATAAGAAACTATCCTCAATTTTAAAAAGGTCGTCAAAGTCAATGCATTGACCCATAGAATTTAATTATTTTTTGTAATGATGTGTAGGATATTTCCCATGATCTCCGCAGAAGTCAACTGTGTGGTGTGGTCACATGGCCCTTGAGCGCTTCCCAGGCAACTTCTCTGTATTCACACTCCTACAAGGCATAAATACTAAATAGCTACACTCAACCCTTTCTTCTTATGAAAATATCTCGATTCATGTGGCCCTTCCAAGCCCTTTCGTCGACGCTTCCCCTCTTCTTTCTTTGTCATTGTGTATGAACACGAGACAAAAAAATATAATCCATCTTGTTAAACAGAGATAAAACGTTTTCAGGAATGAAATAAGGTTCTTGTGGAGTATGGACTCGTCCGGTGGAGACCCCGGCCCTCCCAAAATCTTCGGTACGTCAAGAAACATAATCTTTACTCTTCTTGATTCATCCTCCAAGAAAATGTTTATCGTTAAATCCGTACGGAAGACCCATGAAAGCGTTGTTTGTTTGTTTTTTTCTTCTCTTTCTGTTCAGTTGCGTTCATAGGCCTCATGTTTGGTGTGATCATCCTGGGTATTTTGGTAGCGTGCTTGGAGAAGACGGGTCTCCTCAAATGCCAGGAGGACACGACCGGTGACAACTCCGACCAAACAAGGCCCCAACAACAACAGGCTCTGTTCGGTCAAAACCAGATTCCGCTCCGACAACAATTTTGGTTCGATCAGAACCAGATTCCTGTCCAAATGTCACCGCCGCCGCCTGTACTTTTCCGGCCGATTCCAAACCCGCAACTGGAGTTCGCTACCATGGAGAGATTCTTGAATGAGATGGAGAACGAGAAACCGATCAGATTCTCCTCGAACGAGCTCAAGGCCTTAACCAACAATTTCTCCGCAGTTTTGGGTTCGGGTGGTTACGGAGTTGTGTACAGAGGCGAGTTCACCACTGCCATTCCAGTGGCCGTGAAAGTGCTGACGAGCTCCTCCGACAAGAGAATCGAGGAGCAGTTCATGGCAGAAGTCAGCGCCATCGGGAGGGCTAACCACATTAACCTGGTGAGACTGTACGGGTTCTGTTTCGAACGAGACATGAGTCATGGAGAATGGATCGCTTGGAAGAGCTAACCATATTAACCTGGTGAGACTTTACGGGTTCTGCTTCGAACGAGACATGAGAGCTCTCATCTACGAGTTCATGGAGAATGGATCGCTTGACGAGTTGTTATTCGACCCGAAAAAGGAGATCGGGTGGGAGAAACTGAGAGAGATCACGATCGGTACAGCAAAAGGGCTTGCTTATCTGCACGAGGAGTGCCGGAAGAGAATCATTCACTACGACATTAAACCTGCAAACATACTCCTGGACGGTGACTTGCGGCCCAAGGTTTCCGATTTCGGACTTGCCAAGCTCTGTAGCGTCGATGTCAGTCAGGTAGATATACATTTCAAGTTAAAGATTCCCTCTTACATAACTGGTTACTGTCTTCGGATGTGGCGAAACATTATCTGGTTTTGGTTGCAAGATTACGATGACGGGATGTCGAGGGACACCTGGATACGCAGCTCCGGAGTTGTGGGAGCCATTTCCGGTGAGCCACAAGTGCGATATCTACAGTTTTGGGATTGTGCTGTTCGAGACACTGGCGAGGAGAAGGCACCATGATCAGAACGTGAAGGAAGAGTCCAAACAATGGCTTCCACGGTGGGCATGGGAAGCACTCAGCAATGGCGAACTCAGTGAGATGCTGTCTGAATTGGGGATAGAGGAGAAAGACATGGAGAAAGCTGTAAGAATGGCGATGACAGCTCTGTGGTGCATCCAGCAGAGGCCAGAGGCGAGACCGATGATTAGCAACGTGGCCATGATATTGGAGGGAAGTGTGGAGATCGAACCGCCGCCTTGTCCGTTCAAGAGCTTCCATGGAACTGCACCGAGTTCCGGTGGATCTGATGGATTGAGTTCTTCTTCAGCAACCTCCGAATCCGCCGTTTCGAAGCCTCACCACATTACCAAGGAGATCCAAACATTATGAATATAGTTGTTGTAAATTGTTTGATTTTCTGTTGCGATTTTTATTTCAACTTCAGCCATAATGCAAATGTGAATGAGGGTATTGAAGATACAGCAAAAGAAAACTGCAGAAAACCATATGAACTAAAACCCCCCGAAAATAATTCAGAATCTCAAAATGAAAATGGACGGAGAATTACTTGTAGACCAAGAAACTGAAAATAAACACTACCCCTCTGTTTCTAAATAAATATTGATCTAGATTTTTTTTTTCACATTTCTTAAAAAAATATAAAAAGAGTGATATATGTCCTCATTAAACCACATCCTCTCTGTTAGTTGGATATTTTTAATTAAGGATAAATTTTAATTTTTTTAAAAAAATTTACTTAGAAAATCTGTAATATCTATACGATTTATATTTAGAAACTGATAGAGTAAATCTTTACCGGGACAAGGTCTTATTGCATTTCGGACAAGAAAGATTTATTTTCATAAACTAAAGAAAACATGAAATCGGTACATGTGATGTCTGAGTAATCTATCATATCTAAACTAACAATATTCTGAAGATGATATGACTTCCGGTAAGTCAACGTTTGTCCGATACATTGTGGCGCATGGACCGTTATTTATGTAAATATATCAAAGTGTATCCACACATAATATAAGACTTATATATGTAGTGGTTTATTGTATTATTATTATTTTTAATAACTCGAAATAAATTTAAACACGATTCACGTACACCTCAATAAATACTATCCATAACGAAAAATAAAAAAAGAAGAAGAAGACACATAATAAAGTTGTAGAGAATCCAGAGACTAGCAAATGATTGAGAAAAAAAAAATATTCAAATGAATCCAACAGCCATGTTTGTCCAAAAGAAAATCACTCATTGTGATTGAGAACCTGCAAATTTACAATCTACGAATATATATATATATATATATATATATATATGGAAGAATATCTGCGTATTAAGTTACTGAAAATATAATCGTATGTATTTATAAGAGCCACATGTTCTTGACGAGGTTGATACATTTGCCGGGTAAATAAACATCTAAAATTCCGAGCAAAATGAAAAATGAAATTAATCAGCTTATGTTTGTGTTTAATACAAATGAGAGAGATTTCTCGGACATTTCTATTTGAGAGCCGAATACGTGGGCCTTATGGGCCCGTAATTTACTTTTTGACCACTTTCATTAGTTTGAAGAAAGCCCATTTAGTTGGGCCTGTTAGGCCCATTATAGTTTCCTCTTCATTTCTTTTTCCCCGAAAACAGGCGCGAAACACCCGCTTTCCGACTCTCAGCGGAAATCGCAAGTTCAAAACCCTCGAGCAGTGCCTTCTTCTTCTTCGGCGTCCATGGCTGTCTGTGAGTATTCCTTCTTTCTAGAAATTACGAGTTTTGGTACGGATTTGAACTTTCGTTGTTCCGTTAAAATTAGGGTTTTTCTTTCTTTTCTTTTTTTGACTTTGAACTAGAATATGGGGCTGTAGTAATCTGTTTCGTGATGTTTAATGTGGATACTTGGTTATGCTTCTATCCGAGAATCGATCGATTTCAGTCTACGAATACTTTTGTTGCTGCTTATCGCGATGTGGTGCAAATGATTTTGTGTGTTGGAAATATTCAGTGGGATTTCTAGGGTTGGGGATTTTTGGGGCAACTTGGGTGGTTGTGCGGTGTAGATGTCGAAGCATCTTCCGTGCATAATCTTAGACCGATGCATACATGTGGGTGCTTGGGATAATGGAGAAGAATCTAATGTCTGAAGCTGCATGGCCTTAAGACTTTGCATAGGAAAGACCATAATTCAAAAGCCCCCTGATTTATATATCGAACACCCATAAATGATTGTTGAAAAAAATCACGTTAGAGTAGACGTGGAATCACACGATCCACTGCTACATGTGTATATGAAGGATAAGAAACTTTTCTCAATGTTAAAAAGGTCATCAAAGTCAACGCATTGACCCATAGAATTCAATTATGCTTTTGTGTAGGTAGGTGTAGGATATATCCACACTCCTACAAGACAGAAAGACTAGAGAGCTACATTCAACTACAATTTTGGACACGTTTTACGACAATGCCCTTTCTTCTTATGAAAATATCCTGATTCATGCATTTTCGGAAATGAAATAAAGTTCTTGTGAAGTATGGACTCGTTCGGTCAAGACCACGGCCCTCCCAAAATCTTCGGTACGCCAAGAAACATGATCTTTTCTTGATTTATCCTCCTCGATTGAGAAACCAATAGTATGTTTATCGTCAAATCCATACAGCAGATCCATGAAAACGTTGTTTCTTTTTTTTTTTTCTGTTCAGTTGCCTTTATAGGCCTCATGTTTGGAGGGGTCGTCCTGATTATTTTGGTAGCGTGCTTGCAGAAGATGGGTCTCCTCAAATGCAAGGAGGACACGACCGGTGACGATCCCGACCAAACAAGGCCCCGACGACAACAGGCTCTGTTCGATCATCACCAGGTTCTGCTCCGACAACATCTTTCGTTCATTGAGAACCAAATGGCACCGCCGCCTGTAACTTCCCAGCCGTTCTCAAACACGCATCTGGGCTTCTGATGGTTTGTTTTTGGTTCAAAGTCCGAAAGCGGTTATAATGTATGTTACAAGTTGGTTTTGTGTCGGTTTATTTTTCTAATGCGCAGTTAAAGCTATTAACTGCTCTAGAACGTTATGTCGTGTGTGTTTATATACGTTGATCGAGCTTATTGTGTATTGCAGATCCTTTGTTGCAGTCCTATTCGGTTCCGAACCGAATAGTTTGTGTGTTGTAATGATATGAATGTATGAATAAATGAAGAGATTCTTCTTGTGTGAGAAATTTTGTTCTCAGAAAAAATAACAAGTTCGCTACCATGGAGAGATTCTTGCATGAGATGGAGAACGAGGAACCGATCAGATTCTCCTCGAACGAGCTCAAGGCCTTAACCAACAATTTCTCCGCGGTTTTCGGTTCGAGTGGTTACGGAGTTGTGTACAGAGGCGAATTCACCACCGCCATTCCTGTGGCCGTGAAAGTGCTGATGAGTTCCTCCGACAAGAGAATCGAGGAGCAGTTCATGGCAGAAGTCAGCGCCATCGGGAGGGCTAACCACATTAACCTGGTGAGACTGTACGGGTTCTGTTTCGAACGAGACATGAGTCATGGAGAATGGATCGCTTGGCGAGTTGATATTCGACCCTAAAAAGGAGATCAAGTGGGAGAAACTGAGAGAGATCACGATAGGTACAGCAAAAGGGCTCGTGTAATCTGCACTAGGAGTGCCGGAGGAGAATCATTCACTACGACATCAAACCTGCAAACATACTCCTGGACGGTGACTTGCGGCCCAAGGTTTCCGATTTCGGACTTGCCAAGCTCTGTAGCGTTGATGTCAGTCAGGTACATCCGTACATATACATCGCAAATTAAAGATTCTCTCTTACATAACTCGTAACTCTCTTCGGATTTGGCGAATTATTATACGGTTTTGGTTGCAAGATTACGATGACGGGATGCCGAGGGACACCTGGATACGCAGCTCCAGAGCTGTGGGAGCCATTTCCGGTGAGCCACAACTGTGATACCTACAGTTTTGGGATTGTGCTGTTCGAGACACTGGCGAGGAGAAGGCACCATGACCAGAACGTGAAGGAAGAGTCCAAAAAATGGCTTCCACGGTGGGCATGGGAAGCACTTAGCAATGGCGAGCTCAGTGAGATGCTGTCTGAATTGGGGATAGAGGAGAAAGACATGGAGAAAGCTGTAAGGATGGCGATGACGGCTCTGTGGTGCATCCAGCAGAGACCAGAGGCGAGACCGATGATTAGCAACGTGGCAATGATGTTGGAGGGAAGTGTGGAGATCGAGCCGCCGCCTTGTCCGTTCAAGAGCTCCCATGGAACTGCACCGAGTTCCGGTGGCTCTGATGGATTGAGTTCTTCTTCTGCAACCTCCGAATCCGTCGTTTCGAAGCCTCACCACATTACTAAGGAGATCCAAACATTATGAATATCGTTGTTATAAATTGTTTGATTTTCTGTTGCGATTTTTTATTTAAACTTCAGTCATAATGCAAATGTGAATGAGGAGATACAGCAAAAGAAAACTGCAGGAAACCATACGAAATAAAAAACCGAAAATAATTCGGAATCTCAAAATGAAAATGGGCGGAGAATTTCTTGTAAACCAAGAAACGGAAAATAAACATTACCCCTCCGCTTCTGAATAAGGCTTTGAATGGAGATGGCTTTTATTTTGGGTTTTTGGTTTTAGTTTTTGGATTTTGGTTTTTAGTTTTTGGTTTTTGACTTTTGGATTTTATAATATTTGAAAACTCAAAAAAAGTAGCTTTTGGTTTTTCATTGATTTTTTCACTAAAATGGCTTTCCAAGTTTTTAGGAAAAGTAATTTTGTAAAAACTTGAATGTTGTTTTTTTTAGTTTTTGGATTCTAAAAACTCCAAAAACTCCTACCATTCAAGGCCTAAATGTCGATTTAGATATTTTTTTCACAATTCTTTAAAAATATATATAAAAAAAGTCATATATTCCCTTATTAAACCACATTTCCCTTAGTACTCTGTTAGTTAGTTGGATATTTTTAATTAAGGATAAATTGTAATTTTTTTAAAAAAAAATTTACTTAGAAAATCTATCGTATCTAAACGGTTTATATTTAGAAACTGAGATTGTAAAATTTTACTTGGACAAGGTCTCATTGCATTTTCGGACAAGAAATATTTATTTTCATAAACTAAAGAAAACATGGAATTGGTACATGTGATGTCCGAGTGTGCAAGATTTTGTGACTTAAAACCCTAAAATGAAACGGTGTGAAGACTGAAGAGACAAGGGTTGGTCTCAAAAGATGGAAAATCATGACATTGCTCTTATGGAAAATTAGCTCCATTTTGTAATAAAATAAACGATTAATTTTATATATAAAAAAAACTAAACGATTAAGAGCTTTTTTCACCATAGGAAAGAGAAGAAATCAAATCTAAACAAACAAATGATTGAAACTGTAAAATAATGCCTATTTTAAAATATTAACTTCGAGTGAGATCGTCCATTTATTAGGCTAAAAGTTTTGTTTTTTTTAATCATATAATAATATTTGATGTAATCTATCATATCTAAATTAGCTAACAATATTCTGAAGATGATATGACTTCCACTAAACCAATGTTTGTCTGATACATTTTGGCGCATGGACCGTTATTTATAATTTTATATAAATAAATATATCAAAAGTGTAGTCTTTTATATTCCGTCCTTTTAAATGAAAGAAGGGTAATTGAAAATTCGACCCCGATCTCAAAGGGTATCCGCACGCTATGTATTGATGTTTAATCTATTCCTCATAGAAAGAAAAAAAACATAACATATGTTTCTTTTTATAATTAGTAATTTCATTGAACTTTCGATCAATTATATCTCTACTGATTTGGAGTTAAATTATACATCTTCTTTTTGCACGTAGAGTCGAACCGGCTATTCTGAACGTCTAACGACCGATTTGCAATCCGACAACCTCAAGTCTCTATCACTCGACCACCACAAGATGGATAAAAAAAACGATCATATATGTAGTGGTTGTATTATTATTTTTAATTACTCGAAACGAATTTAAACACTTTTATAACGATTCATCTATACCTCAATAAATACTATCCATAACGAATAACGAATCTCTCATCTGAAAAAAAGAAGACAAATACATATTTATATATCCGTTCATATACATTTACATATACTTCAATGCGCGCGTGTGTGTATATATATATATATATGATGATAGTTTTGAAATGTTCAATGTATTCATATTTGAATTCTGTTCCATTGGTTGATTAATAGTGATGGTATAAAGTTTCTTATTTGTCCTTTTTTTTTTTGAGAAGTTGCTATGGATATATTTTATAAAATTACGTCCTAGTTGTTCTATGATCTGGCTCTTTTTTTTTTCCTCCAAAAGGTTGTTATACAATGTCATTCAATCATTTTAAATTTTGTTATATTGTTTTTTTATACAAATATATAAATTAAAATGTGTATACAAGTAAGAGAATATGCCAAGCATTATCATGTCAAAGAGCCGATCAAATATCCCTATTAAATTTTTTAATATCAAAGCTCTTGTCCAAATCCAAGAGACATTCGTTTAATCTACGAGAAACCGGAAAGCCACTTAATAAACCCTATATATATACATATATATATATATATATATATGTATATATATTATATTATATTGTATACAAAAATCCTTTTGACTAGTTTTTTCTTTATTTTTTTTTAAATCCGTATATTTTGTTAATGCAATTTAAGGGTTGCAACATTTTCAACCGTAGCAGTGTTATATTCCAAGTATTGGATTGCCAATGCAGTATACTCAAGTATTTTTAAATTATTTTTTTATTTAATTTTAGACAATAATTTTTATATTGTAAGAACGATTTATATGAAAAATGATGCTCCGATGCTATTTATAAGAAGTTTATTCATCTCTCGATATTAATTTAGTACTATATGCTATATATTTTTATTCTTTCATAATTTTCAATATCTGCCATTCTGTCGACGTACTTGATGATTCAGAAAACTTTGCATTTTGAAAATAAAAAATATTATTTTTGGAAGCCAAATTAGGAGGGTGTGTCCAGTGCTTTTTAGTGAGAAAATAATCGTGGTATTTGCCATAAAAATATCTATTTGCTAAAATTAGACACTTTTATATGACCATTTGCCGGAATGGTATAGTAATTATGAAATATTAATATAGATTTTACCATCGATATATATGGAAAGAGATAAATTTGCCCTCCCATAACATTGTGAAAAATAAATACCTTGATTAAATCAAATTATGCGATATTGCCAATTATTATGGTTTCTTGTTATCACAAATTACGACGTCATCATTAGCAAAATATTATTACGAAGAATGGTGGTGGTGCGTCTATAGAGTTCTGGGGGGTCCGTATGAAGAGTTGAAACGACGTCGTCTCAACCAGAGACGAGGGGTATAAATACAAGGCGCGCTATTGGCCGTCTCTTCGCATTGCTCAGCCACCGAACTTTTTTCCTTCACTTCCTCTCGTTGCCGAAGAATCTGATCTCTTCTCTGTTCTTCTTCTCCTATTTCTCGGCGGAGGATGATGGCGACCGGGAAGGGCGATGGTGGATCTCTCGAGGACATCAGAAACGAGACTGTTGATCTGGTAACATTTTCTCTCGTTTTCTCGGGAAAGTTTTTGCTGTGCGCGCGCGCGCTCGATGTACTCGGACGCATCTCGACTCGAATTCGAATTGAGATTCGTATTTTGATTTGATTCCATCGCTCAAACTTTCCCTGATCGAGTTTCTGGGCAGAGTGGGTTTGCTTATGATTTTCTTCGTATATGTTTTGGTTGGTGCAAAGAGTTTTTCATCATCTTTTCATTTTCTCAAGTTTTTCTTCCCTTTTCTCGCTCATCAAACAGTCCTAATTGTTTCATGCAGTCTCCTGGGAATCTTGGCTCGTAGAACTAGAGTCCGGTGGTTTGAAAATTTTCTTTTCTTCTTCTTCGTTTGATTTTCGAATTTAGGGCTCAGAAAAAAATTCAATTAAATCAATATATCCTATAAATATACGCCCATATAATAACAACATGTGTTTTTTGCTTTTATTTTATTTAAATTTCAAAAAGGAATTCTATCGATTCGAGAGAGTTGTGTCCTATTTCCTCTGCGTTACAATCCCCGAATTTCGGTCTTCTCCTCATTTATTGGGCTCATAATTCTTTCTGCAGGTAGAAAAACATGTTATCTTCTGTTGTGAAAAAAACTTTTTTGTTTTTGCATCATGATTCATGCCTGCTAGTTTGACGATTTTGCCCCTGTTGGAATTCGATTATGGCCTATAGGCCGTGATGCCCTATTAGCGTTACGAAGTAAAAATATGGAGGCATGGGCCTGGCCCCACCGAATCTTTTTTATTTTATTTTAAAGAATATATATATATATATATATATATAACTTTGAAGAAATGGTAGTGTTCATACATAACTCTGACGTTGTAGGAGAAAATTCCGGTCGAGGAAGTTTTCCAGCAGTTGAAATGTACCAAAGAAGGTTTAACGACAGCAGAAGGGGAGAACAGGCTCCAGATATTTGGACCCAACAAATTGGAGGAGAAGAAGGTAAGCTTCCAATGCCTGGAAACTGAAGAATTTCCACTCGAGCTGACTGAACATTTTTTTTTGTTTGTTTCTTGTATGTTAATAAAAACAGGAGAGTAAGTTCTTGAAGTTTCTAGGGTTCATGTGGAATCCACTCTCGTGGGTAATGGAGGCAGCTGCCATCATGGCCATTGCGCTGGCCAACGGTGGCGGGAGGCCTCCAGATTGGCAGGATTTCGTCGGTATTGTCTGCCTTTTGGTTATCAACTCCACTATCAGTTTCATTGAAGAAAACAATGCCGGCAATGCCGCTGCTGCTCTCATGGCTGGTCTTGCTCCTAAAACTAAGGTACTTAATCCATTGGTTTTCAAACATCTGTACATTACCAGATCCAGACAAAGTTTTTGCTTTGAGAAAGTTGAAGCTGATCTACTAGGTTTTTCATTGTCTAGGTTCTAAGGGATGGCAAATGGAGTGAGCAGGAGGCTGCTATCCTTGTTCCTGGAGACATTGTTAGCATAAAGCTTGGTGATATCATTCCTGCAGATGCCCGTCTTCTCGAAGGTGATCCTTTAAAGGTGGATCAGTCTGCCTTGACTGGAGAGTCTCTTCCTGTAACAAAAGGTCCAGGGGATGAAGTCTTCTCTGGTTCAACCTGTAAGCAAGGTGAAATCGAGGCAGTTGTTATTGCAACTGGTGTCCACACTTTCTTTGGAAAGGCTGCTCACCTTGTTGATAGCACCAACCAAGTTGGTCACTTCCAGAAGGTTCTTACAGCCATCGGGAACTTCTGTATATGTTCCATCGCTGTTGGTATGGTGATTGAGATCATTGTCATGTACCCGATACAACACCGCAAGTACAGGGATGGAATCGACAATCTTCTGGTGCTATTGATTGGTGGTATTCCCATTGCAATGCCTACAGTTTTGTCTGTGACAATGGCTATTGGGTCTCATAGGCTGTCCCAGCAGGGTGCTATCACCAAGCGTATGACTGCCATCGAAGAGATGGCTGGTATGGATGTTCTCTGCAGTGACAAAACCGGAACACTAACTCTCAACAAGCTTAGCGTTGACAAGAATCTGGTTGAGGTTTTCGCAAAGGGTGTGGAGAAAGATGAAGTGATATTGTTAGCTGCAAGGGCTTCCAGAACCGAAAACCAGGATGCAATTGATGCTGCCATGGTTGGAATGCTTGCTGATCCAAAGGAGGTATATATATATATATATATCTTCTCTGTTCCTAAATAAACTGAACTTGGTTCTTGTCATTCTTTTTGATGACCGAATCTGTATGGCAATGGTTTTAGGCAAGAGCTGGTATTAGAGAGGTTCACTTCTTTCCATTCAATCCAGTCGACAAAAGAACCGCTTTAACTTATATCGATGCTGATGTCAACTGGCACCGAGTGAGCAAAGGAGCTCCTGAGCAGGTAAACTGCTCATTACTGCTTAGTTTGATTGATATGGCATTTCCCTTAATTAACATATTTTTTTTGAAATTCAGATCCTTGACCTCTGCAATGCTAGGCAAGATATCAGGAATAGAGTCCACTCTGTTATCGACAAATTTGCAGAACGTGGCCTGAGGTCTCTGGCAGTTGCGAGACAGGTGATTGCCATTCTTTGAACAATTCCTACTCCTACTCCAGATTTATATTGGAGATAAAACAATGACGTGATTTGCATTTTGCTTGTTCAGGTTGTACCTGAGAAAACAAAAGAGAGCAGTGGTGGTCCATGGGAATTTGTCGGATTGTTGCCTCTTTTTGATCCCCCGAGGCATGACAGTGCAGATACCATCAAACGAGCTCTAGAACTTGGCGTCAATGTCAAGATGATTACTGGTAATTGGCTCTCGGTCACTACTTCCTCTCCGTTAAGTGAAATCTGTTTCTCATCTCTGTTATTTGCCCAAACGGTTTTAGGTGATCAACTTGCTATAGCCAAAGAGACTGGTCGTAGACTCGGAATGGGATCAAACATGTACCCATCTGCTTCTTTGCTTGGCCAAGATAAAGACGCAAGTGTCGCTTCCCTTCCAGTAGAAGAGTTAATCGAGAAGGCAGATGGGTTTGCCGGTGTCTTCCCAGGTTAGTACATTGTCTTCTTTGCCATTATACATATTGACATAACCCTTAGATATTCTTTCTCCTTTTTTTTGGTATTCAGAGCACAAATATGAAATTGTGAGGAAGTTGCAAGAGAGGAAGCATATATGTGGTATGACTGGAGATGGTGTGAATGATGCTCCTGCACTGAAGAAGGCTGACATTGGTATCGCTGTGGCCGATGCGACAGATGCCGCGAGGAGTGCCTCTGACATTGTTCTGACCGAGCCTGGACTCAGTGTTATTATCAGTGCTGTTCTGACCAGCCGAGCGATTTTCCAGAGGATGAAGAACTACACAGTGAGTGCCTTCCTTCTGTTTTTCATCGACTCGTGTTTGAGAGTTTAACCCTTGTAGTTTTCTGTTGTGATTTGCAGATATATGCAGTTTCAATCACCATCCGTATCGTGGTAAGCAAAAGTCTCAAACAATCCGAAATTTTTTCAAATATTCTGTCAATCAAGCAAGCATTCATTGATATTCGTGTCCCATGCCCCAAACTTTGCAGTTCGGCTTCATGTTCATTGCTCTTATATGGGAGTTCGACTTTGCACCGTTTATGGTTTTGATCATCGCTATTCTAAATGACGGTGAGTTTTTTTTTTCTTTGTTTGAGCTTATCAGTAACAACCTTGTGTGATTGCATAAGCATGTGTGTATCTGAGCATCGATGTTGCTATATTGTTAACCAGGTACCATCATGACAATATCGAAGGACAGGGTCAAGCCTTCCCCCACACCGGATAGCTGGAAACTGAGAGAGATCTTTGCCACCGGAATTGTTCTTGGTGGCTATCTGGCATTGATGACAGTCATATTCTTCTGGGCTGCTTATGAGACCGATTTCTTTCCGGTATAGTGATCTAATCCCATTACAAAGCACAAAAAGTTTTGGTTCTGTCAGGAAAAAGGAGAATATAAGTAACTCTAGTTTTCAAACCAATACAGAAAACGTTCAGCGTCAGGGACTTGAGAGGCAGAGAACACGAGATGATGGCTGCACTCTACCTACAAGTCAGTATAGTGAGCCAGGCTCTTATTTTCGTCACAAGGTCCCGAAGCTGGTCTTACGTCGAACGCCCTGGAACGCTCTTGGTCATCGCCTTCATTCTTGCACAACTGGTAAGCTTATTATGGTGCCACAGCTCGATTCTTGCGGACAAAGTATTGTTAGAAATGGACTGTCAGATTCTGACAAAAGGGCGAACTCCATGCAGGTTGCAACGTTGATTGCTGTATATGCGAACTGGAGTTTTGCAAGAATAAAGGGCATAGGGTGGGGATGGGCAGGAGTGATCTGGCTGTACAGTATAGTCTTCTACGTGCCGTTGGACCTGATGAAGTTTGCCATCCGTTACATACTGAGCGGAAAGGCTTGGCTCAGCCTTCTCGATAACAAGGTACCCACTTCCCACTTCCATCTCTGAATCTGAATTCTGACTGGCAAAACACTGAAATCCGTGTTGAATCAGACGGCATTCACGACTAAGAAGGATTACGGGAGGGAAGAGAGGGAGGCGCAATGGGCATTGGCTCAGAGGACATTGCATGGTCTTCAGTCCAAAGAAGCTGTCGGCATCTTACCTGAGAAAGGGAGCTACAGAGAGCTGTCTGAGATTGCAGAGCAGGCCAAGAGACGAGCTGAGATCGCCAGGTAATTGTTCTGAAAATAAAATCTGATAAATGAACAATGAAAACGGATTATTATTATATATTATTATTATTTTTCACAAAATGGGATTATTGATGAACAGGTTGAGGGAGCTTCACACGCTGAAAGGGCACGTGGAGTCTGTGGTGAAGCTGAAGGGTTTGGACATTGATACACCGTCTGGTCACTACACCGTCTAAGAACACACAGACTTTTAAGATTTGGAAGATCGATCTCTCATGGAAAAAAGATCAGATGATGATGAAGAGGGCATCTTTTTTTTTTTTTAATTTCATTTATTAGTCTTGAATTCCTATTTTTCATTACCGCGATTTCTAACATTGTGTTTTGCAAAATTTCGACGTACCTCACCTCCTCAATTTGCATTTGTGGAGGAAACCGAAAAAGTTTACGACATTTTTTTGACACATGAAGATCGAACAGAAATGTCAACTTTGGTATTTTACCTGTTGTGGATTTCATATATTACGTTGTTTCGTGACACTCGAGAGACTACCCATTGCTATTGGTCCACGTGGCAACCTCTATGAGAGAACGCAAAAAATCTTACCAAGACTTACTAGAGAAACATGTTACAGAATCTGTTCGGTTTTCCGTACGCATCCAACCAGAAGCAGTGACGCCAACCCTTTGACGAAACCAAAATATGTCCGTCGCCATAGCTTTCCCCCGCAGAGCTTTCGCGTCAACTCTTTCAGTTTCCGACTTATACGCAGTCCCAAGACGATGATGACTACTAGTAACTAAGAATCAAACTTATGTGGATGATGATAACATATAGCTTGGTACATGATCTGTGAATTTTTTTTTTGTATGCATGAGAAAAAAAAAGGGAATGTAGTGGTGATATAAGAGTGTATATGAATCAATCTAGAAGTTGAACTGCTCCAATGGCAGGAATCTTTTCCCTAAGCTTCTGCGTCAAAGCCACACGAACGGTCATCACTCCGGCGGCTGGACCGCCGAGCCGAACCTTCACCACGTAACCATCGATCCCAACCAACTCCAGCTCCCCACCTCCGGTCCCGGCTAGATACGGTCGTATCTCGGACAGAACCTGAGAGAACAACAACAACAGAACCAGAGTCATCAGGGGCCATTCTGATCGATTTCAAAACCATAGGACCGAAATGAACATATCAAGATTTTCAATCTTTCCCCTGTACTTTCCTTTCTAACCTTTTCGACATTTTCCTCGTTCAGGTCTAACCCTGTCTCGGTGTCTAGAATCTGCTCGACGGCCATGATTTCGGGTATTTTGTCGCGGAGACGGGTCTCTATCCCCATTCTAAGGGTCATGGCCGAGCTTGGACACGACCCGCAAGCTCCTTGTAGCTTTAGAACGACGACAAGTCCGTCTATTTCGTGTAAAGCGACATTTCCTCCGTCAGCCATTAGCGACGGCCGGACTTCGTCCAGTATTCTCTCCACGTTTTCTTCCGTCAATGGAAGAACGCAGCTCGGCGAAATCACATTCCCTTCCATTTCAAACATATATAATCTTGAGAACTAATCATTAAAAAAGTGATTCTAACCATTATTATATACAAAGAAACCTGCATTACAAAGTTTGATTATCAAAGATTTTACTCTGTTGTGCTCTGCATTACACATTGACATAAAAAGATACAAATCCCATGAAAAATCAATATATACACACACACACACACACACACAAAAACTTATGTTGTCACCTTCTTGTATGTATCCAACTTACTTCCGTATACTATCTGCATAACCTGTGTAAAATCCGACATAAGTGAGCAGAAGAATTTTACCTGCTCGTACTGTTGAAGCCCGTGTTTGCCGAACCCGGAGGAACCGTTTTATCCGGAATTGGCCCCTTAGAAACGCGCTGCATTTCGAAGAGACCCCATAACTATCTGAACTTGCGATCTAGCCCCCAAAAAAGGATGAACAAAAGGAAAAAAAAAGGTTCACAGCTTTATCCTTGAAGGAAGCCTAACAAAATTAAAACAGTAAACATCACAAATCGTAAAGCAATCAATAAGAAATTGGGCAGAGCACCTTGAAGAAGGACGAAAGGAAAACAGGGGATTTGTCGGCGGACGAGAACGAGAGGTTCATCATCGGAATCTGAGCTCGTCCCGAAAGGGCACCCATCTGCTTTCCGACCACCAAAATTCTCAGAGAAATTGCAAACCCATTTCCTAGTAAAATTAAAAAAGAAAAGCCTCAAAATTTAGCGAGCGAGACCGATTCGAGGATTTTCGAGGAGGTTCTTGGCAATGACAAGAGATTCGAAGGAGAAAACGCTTTGTATTTGTTGATGATGTGAAGACGTCGGGATAACTTCATTATGTGGACAGATTCATGAGTTCGTTTTTTTTAAAAATATCTGATAAAGCCACCCGTAATAATACCTTTCTTTCTTCCACAACAGCCGGGGAGGCAGTAAAAGACCGAGCTGTTTTTATTTGGAACTTTTCACCTTGTAGGAAATTATTTATACTGAGGGGGAGACATTGATTGATTCGAATCTCATCTCAAATTCGCCGTCTTCCGCATGTATCGATAAAATTTATGCAATAAACCATTAGGAATAGGAATATCCACCCGATTCACAACAGTTCCGACATGCTTTAATTAAAACAAGCATTGTAGCATCCGTCCGTTCACGCATGAAAAAAGCATTTATCACAACCACTATCACCGTGTATATATATATATATATATATATATAGATGGGTTTGTAGTACGGAATGGAAGTGAGGCTAGTGAGTGAATATGTGGGGAAGGGAAATCACTGGAGGACTTTGGAAGGGTCGAGCTGACCGCTGGAGTAACTGGAAGGGACGGCAGAGAGTTCGAGACGGCCTTTCCACTCTTCACCAGGTTTCAGAGTGATGGGTTTCTCTATCGCAGCCGCTTCCACGCACAGCATTTGCTTATACTCTTCATCCCCCATGTCCGGTATCGTCTTTGACTTCTTCTCCCATGGATTCCACACCACTGCATACCCATATGCATATACGTATTTATGTATGTATGTGTGTACGTACGTACAAGGAGAACCTGTATTCAATCTTACCTGCATCGGCAAGCCCATCCTTGCGAACGACGAAAGTCCTCTTTTTCTCATGGTCCAGAATCGCAATTTTCGTAGGAGTGCTTAGGTATATCTTGTCCACCTATTTTCAATTGAGTTGAGAGCTCTTCTAAGTTTATGGAAACGTAATTCGTTATTTCATATATAGCCGGTCAATTGGTGAAATGGATCGCAAAACTTACCTCGGATTCAAAAGTTATTGCGTCGCCTTGTTCTGTAAACCGTTCTCTGTTCTTTAAGTTGTCCAGATAATCCAGCGTCTCCAATCCTTCAATCCTTACTTCACTGAAACATACGCAGCAGAGGTAACTCGACAAAATGCACTAAAAGCAGCAGAAAAGCTTTTATCACATGCCAAAATATGATTTTGCCAGCAGGGACGGGTCTCTGTTAAAGAGAGATGAATACTGTTAACAGGCAGCACAGCCCCATTTAATAACAATTACTTAGTCAAACAATATAGGTAGAAGAAACATATTGTGATTGGACTCCAAGTCCCTGAGATAAGGTAGGAAAAAACAGAAGTCTGGAACCAAGTCAAATATAGTTTTGAGAGAACATCCATGCTAATGTTTAACAAAGTTGAAATTTCAATCCCTGGTAAAAAACTGAAACATGGTAACTGACATATGAGTATTCTCTAGCTAGATATCGAGGCCTACAAACTTTTCCAATAAAAAAAACTCCAAACTCAACTCATTGAAAAAGGAGAATATACTTGAGGCAGTTGTTACCTGATATCAGAAACAGAGAAATAGGTGTGATACGCAAACGTGAATGTAAATGGCTTTCCATCAGAGTTGGTGTTTCTAATACGAGATGTCAACATCAGTTCTCCTTCCACTCCCAAGCCTACTCTCAGCCGATATTCAAAACTGGATAGACACAGAAGGATACAGTCAGTAATTCAAGATTCCAGCTTTTCTTTGAGAGGACTATGGAGGAGAGAAGCCCCACCTTCTTTAGTAGATGTTTCGAGTTAAATATTTAAGAAATGTTTTAAGATATACAGAAAAGGGAAGTTTTGAAGAATCTTACTTGTGAGGCCATATCTTCAGATCGTCTTCAGACGGCCTTAAGATCAGATCAACAAAAGCCTTAGAAGTCGAATTTGACGGCAAAGGAGGTGGGTTAGAATCAATGCTCCAGATCCTATTTCTAGCGAATCCATGGGATTCAAGTGGACCAAGGTTACTGAACTGCACATACAAAAACATTTCAATAAAAAGTGAAAAGTACCACAGAACAAACAAGAAGGAAGAACTGCTAAAATACACATACTTGCGGGAAGCATAATGGAATTCCTCCACGAATCGGTTTTGGAGGCTTGAATATAGCCTGCACAATGCATCATGGATAATTTCAATCATTTGGAACTCTGAACTCATATATGCACATAACCTGGACAGCTCAACACCACCAGCAAAATTAACTAGGCACAGGATAGGAATAAGCAAGCAGGGAACTGGACACACACACACACGTGAAGGAAGAATGTAACTGTTCTTTTACACTTTCACTTCTTTCCATTTAAGAAGAAAAGGATAGGAAGCTGGAACCATACCATAACAGAATGAATTTGATACCCATTATACTGAGGGGCACAAAAACAGCAGCAAAGAGTTACCCAAATCTACCATCTTAAGTACTACAAGCCAATCGTTAAAGGATAATCTAATTCAGACAGCTAGGTTGAATTTCGTCAAAGCAGCTGAATTCCGAGTTATCAGAGAGTTAAATCTACAGTACCTTGCTACTGAGAAAAAGCAACTCCTCCCCATTTTCATTCGTCCATGATGTCACATGACCACCATACAAGTAAACCTGAAATACGCTCCAAACAAATCAATAACTGTACACAAAAAGCAACAAGTGCTCACACTCTAGGAAGTATACTGCAGAGAAAAACTTGCAAACAAATAAGTGAAAGCCAACGATTCGGCAGCACAATGCAGAGATGAAACTCTTAATTCTTATACAAACAGTATTTACAGAGGAATGTTTAGGGGAATCCATCTGCAACCAGAGATGGACTCAATATGGAATGGTCAGCAGCAGTTACTTTAATGACAAATCGCTGAGAGCCTCATTCCCAATTTGATGATCGACTCAATCTACAAGAAAAGTCAAACATCAATTCGCCACTCTATATGACCAAATCAACAGATCAGCACCAGGGGATTCTCCCGTCAATCTAATCGAATAAAAAAATTTCCTAATATCACAAACATTGCGCATTTCTCGTGGAAGATTCAGCGCAAAAATACACGGATCCGGTTCTTCCCCGTGACACATGCATACACTGATACAGTACACATTCACCACCTCTAAACCCCTAACCCCGACAAGAACACATAACCATACACAGAGATGCGGTAAAAGCACAACAATAATCACAGGACAACACCGATCTCCGACACAGAAATCGATCGGGTCTCGGATTGGGATCGGCGGAGCAAGAGAGAAAGAGAGAGGCGGAGTACCTCGGCGGAGCGGGCACGAGACTCGCGGAGGACGATCTTGTCGAGGCCATTGACGCCCTTGGTTTGCTCGACGGGAAGACGCTCGGCCGACATGGCGAATGCAGAAACCACGATAACCGAGAAGAAGATCGGAAAGCCAAGATTCGCCGCCGCCTTCGTGTGCTTCGTCGTGTTTCGTCTTCTTCCGCTTGTTTCTTGTTCACTCAGTGGAAAAAGCGCCTGCACCCTTTTCGCCGTTTTGTCCGCATCGTTTTGTACACGTCTCCGTTCCATTCTTCTTCTAATTACTGTTACGGTTTCCTCCAAACCCCTTTTTCTTTTTAATCTCTATTTTTTTAATACAAAGATTAATCCTCCAATTTCTCAATCAACACATATATAAAAATTGAAAAAATACAACTCTTAAAACATTTACTCTCAGACTTATTTATCAAAAAATCTGAACAATCATGGGCTATTTAACAAAATCCCAAAAAAATAAATCATAGTCATTAAACCATATCCATTTAAAAACTTGACCAACTACAAATAAATAGAAAAATTAAATAAAAAATCTACAAATTATTGTTTTTCTTAATTTTTATATTTTTAATTCAATATTTGATATTTTTACTATTATAATTTAATATTTAAATATATATTGCCAATTTAAGATTAAAATGATAGAATAATAATACAATAACTTTTTTGATATTTTTATGAATACTTAGATTATTTCGATTTATAGATAATTAAATTTTCCTGATAAATGTATTTTATCCTTTAAAATCCTAACTTTTAGTGTGTGTGTATATGTATATATATATATATATATTATAATCATATCTATAACGTAATTTTAGATAGATAAAGTTTATTTAGAAAATTGTAGTTTGAAATCGACGCGGTGTAGATATTTTTTTTTTCCGGGTTTCCCATTAAAGAGTCAGTCAGCCTTTAGCTTATAATTAACAGAACAGAAATGAATAAAATGACCAATTGTTCTCTCTACACCGTTCGATTTACATATCTCATAATTTCATCAGTAATATAATTAAAAATAGTCTCAAAATCACAACAAACGGATCAGTGTAAACAAATTTTAAGAAAAAAAATCAGGATTTATGCGTATAAATACGTCATATATGTTATATTTATCTGGAGACGATGCAGCAACTCGAAGATGGAAGAGATGTATGAATGCCTTTCAGTTTCAGGGGAGGAAAAGGGTTTCTTCAAACTGCGACAAAGCAGAAAGAGAACACTGCTCAATCAGATTGTTCTAAGCATCTTAGGACAAAAAAAAGGTATGTTGTCTCTGAGAGAAACCAAAGTGAGAACTTACTGTCCTTATGCGCCATTGTTCTTCAACTGGAGAACATAAAGATTCTGGGTTCGGATGAAGAAGAAACGGGACTGCAGAGGAGGTTTCTTCAGAACAAATAAACAGACATTTTAAGCTTGTTCTGTTTCCACTTGGGCAGCTTGTAGAATTCCTTCTTTGTCATCTCAAATTTCTCCGTGAAATCTTCCAAACTCAGGTACGCCTGCATAACGATTTCGGGTAATGAAAATTATGAACGTAGGATAATCTTGGCCAGGGCGATCTATCCGCGAAACTGTTCTTATACTTTGTGTCTGGACACGAACGCAAGTCTTTCATGTTACCAAATGACAGCCATAGCTGTTTCAGAGGAAGGTTTTTTTCATGGTTCTTACCTCTCTTTTGGTAACGTCGATGTCAGGAAGAGGGTCTTCTGAGTTTGTGGTGAGGCGTTCGTAAGGAAAAGTCGGGAGATCGATCTCTTCTTCGGTTTCTTCTTCTCCTTTAACATCATCTTGATTGCTCTCTTTTTCTCCCTTTGTCTCCTCTGTCTCTGTCGTTGCATTTTCTGCCTCCATCTGTACTGTTGCTTCATCCATAGAAAACAAAAATAGAAATCGACAATATATATATATATATATATATCTTGATATTTCACCAACATCACCATCACTTTATCCAAGAGTTGCTCATTCTCGATTCTTGATAAACCTCGAGATGGTAGCAATGGCAAAGTATGTGAAACGGTAAAGTTCTTGCGTGATATGGTGGTTAAATTTTAAGTTATCACAAGAAATTTCTGCATTTTTTTCTTTATTTTTCAAGATTTAGAAGAGTAAAGGCCAAGGTGCTTGCGACAAAAGGAGCATACCTTCAGAAGAGCCGGGTTCAGTAGGTTGCTCCTGAATGGGCGGTGGAGTTTTCTCGAAAAGAGCTGTACGAGCAGCAATGGCCGAGGATGTTGAGGCGAGTTTCCCAAGGACAGGGGCAATAGATTTCGGGTAAAGCTTCCGGACCATCGGGCTGACCATTGGCGGTGGAGTTGAGAGGTTTCTTGCACTCGGGTTCTCAAAGTTAGCCGCGAGAGCGTTGAAGGCAGGGGACCGTCCCCTCATCCGAACCCTGTCTGGACTGAATGACACACTTCTCGAGCGGGCCTGTGGCTTGTCTGGGACGCTGGACCGGCTGCTGAAAACAGGTCCCCTCCTTTTCTTTTTCTGATCGTAACAAAATATGCATGAATTCATGGAAACACAATATTGCCTCTGAACCGAAGACAGAGACTAGGACAAGCATCTGGAGATTAATGCAAAACAGCTTTGTACGAAAGTTAGAATTTTGCATGTGGTCCGACATATGTGATTAGATTATTGCAAAGCTTACATCTAGAACCGGCTTCTGGTTCTTCAGGATAGCAAGCTTCCTCTGGAAAGAGTTTCCATGCATCTGCAAGCGGTGTATTGCTTAAACTGTTAGCTTCTGCAAAAGATTTAGAACAAATGAAAGCAGAAGTCACTTACTGCAGACTTTGAAGAGTCCCAGGTGAAGAACCGAGTGAAAAATGGAGGCTCATTTCCTTCGGTAACAATGTATATCGGAGCCTCATGAGGCAGCTTTTCAAGGAGGAAATCGTGCTCAAGAAATTTCTGCAGAGAATCAGACCGTTATCAGTTCCTGGGATAACAATTTCTGTCCAGCAAATAGTATTTTGTTCTCTCTAATCGACCCGAAAAATCATGGGGCTCTTACTTACCTCTCCAATTGCTAAAGCCTGTGTTTTTTTCTCAGGGTCGACCTGTTGCCCTACCCATATGAAGATCTCGGTGTGACAATCCAGGATGAAGATATCTTCAGTCATCAAATCATCTTGTGTGAAGTTGAAGATCTCTGTAACCTGCAGAAGAGGATAAAAAAAAACGTTTCACTATACGAGCCATCGATAATTTAATCACACCGCTCTTTCCATGTATATGGTTTCATCATGATATGAATCATGATTCATGTCATGAATGATATGAGATTGATAAGAACGAAACTGTACTAGATGCAACATAATTCCCTGGCAATGGGGAACTTATAATGGGAGAATGCATGGTGGATGTGTGATCATAACAGAGACAGGCTAACTACCTTCAGGTTTTCTGGTAAGACAGCACAATTGTGTAGAATGATTGCCGGATAACAAAGCCCGACCATAAGAATTGGAAAAAACGACAGTTCACATCAGTTGAGGATGAGAAAAAAAAGGTGAAAACGAAACGAAACGAAGCAAAAATCCCGAGAAGAGATGAGCTTTATGCTTTTTACCGTTTGAGAAGGTGCAAGAAAAGAGATGAGGATCATTCTCTGCCTTCTTTTTAATCATCTGGCTTGGATATTCTGTTTTTCCGCTTAACAGCTCCCAGAACTGTTCCGACTCCGAACCTTCCTTTTGTAGCTTTGTCGGCACATTAGGCTGCATAAACAATACCCAAGAACGAGAGGTTTCAATACGGAAAAGACCCAACAACAAAAACCGAAATGGAGAAACCCATGATCTCAGCCTTGGCCTCAGATGTCACCTTGATCAGATCCAACATTCTCTCCATGAGTTCTTGGTCATCCGAGGAAGTGAGATTTCCACACCATGTGAAAACAGTAGAACCACTGTGTAATATGTAACAGTGCGATGAATTCAACCCTGAGGCCACCTGTTTGACTCGAACATAAATATGGGTGTACGGAAATGAATCTTTTATAATGCAAGAAAATGGTAGTTGTTCATGCGGGCTGATATATATAACTAAATCATGCAAATATCTTGTCTTCCTCTCTTTGTCCTGATCTTACGTCTTTGGTGATTATGATCCCTTTTCATTATATTGACTATTAAGTTGGGTACACATACTGGGTCTGTCTGAATTGCTTGCATGTTCTCTGGCCCAGAACCTTGAATCCGAAACAAGGCAATGCCTTCCTCGTCATAAGTGTTATCAGGGATCTCGTTCTCTGCAATGTACTTCTTGAATGCGTCGCTGATGCCACCCTGAAGAAATTGTCAAACGTAAAGTTCGAACAAAAAATGGCTTCTGGGCAAAACATAAAAGAGTTAGCACTTAAAACTCCGAGAACTGAAAATCTGACAAACCTTAAGAGTGATAAAGCTTTGCATAATCACGAAAAACTGAATCGGTTCTTTTCCCTCATAAATCCGAGCCTACACAGAATCAATAACAGAAATCAAATATCGAATTACGTAAAACTTCTGTAGCTTGTATTGCAGAAAGGAACCGGAACCACCTGAGCGGGCATAAACTTCATGGATTCTACCATCTTACTCGCCATAGAAACAGCAACAGCTCTATCTTCCTGTTAAGTTAGCAAAAATGCACAATCAAGTAGGCACAGTTAGCAGAATGAATCATGTTCAGACCAGCGAAAAAAAAAAAGTTCATGAAGAATTTTAGTTACCTCGACACTTTGCTTACCGAACCAAGTTCCTACAAGATATTCCTCTCTGTCCTCTCCAGGATACGAGTACTGGAAGATGTAGCAATCTCCGCTGTAGAACTTCGACTGCTCTGCAGCTTGAAGAAGGATCTTTTCCTCACCATTGATATGCCAAACCTGCAAAAGATCCGGTAATACTATCATAGAAACACAATCAATAGGCTTTGTTTGCTTATGCTATAACTTAATCAGACCATATGGTCACTACCTGGATATTTCCAGTTCCGTCAATGTGTGGCTGAGTTTCGTCTTTGGAGGGAGAAGTCTTGATCAGGCCTTTAACATCAACTCCTTGTCGTTGTAGCAGAGCTGCCAAAACAAGAAGCAAGAAATGAGCAGACTGAGAAAGGAACTCCGAAATGAAATTTTTGGATCTCTGCGATTATTGGAAGAGCG